GCGCTGCCAAAATGGCCGACTTCGAGGAGCGGGTGTCGGACGAGGAGAAGGTAGGACCGGACCGGACCGGACCGGACCGGACCGGAACGGACGGGACCAGACCGGAACGCAACGGGCGGGGCGGGGCGGCCACGGAGAGCCGCGGCCCGGGCTCCGCGGCGGCGCTAGGCGCCCGCGGCTTCCATTGGGAAGGCCACAGTGTGCATGGGAGCGAGGAGTAGCCTTTATGGTACCACCCTGCTGCACGGTCCAATGGTTAACCAATACTTGTTACAACTTAGCCTGTATTAACTAAGTAACTGAAGGTTTAGCTTAATGTTTTCATATGATACGATTAAGTGCTGTCGACTCGAGATGTTAGTTAAGAGCCTATGCACACTGTTTGAAATAAATTTTGCAGAACAGGAATCTTTTGGTCTTTACCACATAGCTGAAATTTATTCAGTGCTGTATAAGATATATGTTTGGTCTGTTGTCCTTTGGCTGAATTTCATTCCAACTGCTGAAACTGTAGTTGTCATTGTATTTGGTGTGAAAAATAAAAGTAAAGCTCTATTATGCAGGGTGTTTTGCTGGTACAGGTTTTGAGAACGAAGTCTTGAGTTTGCCGCTGCTTTAAGAAAATGCAAAGCAAGCAATCAAAAACAACCAAAGGAGTCGACCCTTCCTTCTGCAAGCACCAGCTCTTTATTCCCTGCAGGCATCTTTTAAGCAAGCTAAGGACACAACCTAGTGCAGGGCCAACTGAACTGCATCTTACTGCCTGTGTAAGGTGCTTTTGCTGCCATTTTGCTGTCTCGAGCTAATGGCTGTGTCGCTTCCTTCTCAGATACTTTCATTTTAGAAAAAGGAAGCTGCTTTTTGCTGGCTGACTGAGACTACCCAACATGGTAGCGAGGAGCCAGGAAATAGGTCAGCTTGCAGAAAGTCTTTTCATGCTTCTGCGAGTGAACATCCTGTCAGGGTGACGACAGCCCTTGAAACAAACCAGCTCTGAAAGCACCAAGAAACAACAATTCAAATGTTTGACATGAATCGCTTCACTCCTACAGTCAGTTGCCCCCGTTTCACTCTGGATTTCAGTAGTTTGACATAAATGCATTGTATTGTTTCGTGTTGCTCCGAAGGAGAGGCAGGGCTAGAGATACTTTAGAGAAACAACCAACTTTCGCTTGTGGCGTTTGCTTTGTCTATAGGTGTTTTTGTGATGTTTGAAATATGGAACCCTTACTGTGTTTGTTTAATTTCAGTCTTAGCTCTGTCCAGCTAAGATGGAGTTGCTGTTTGATACTGTTGGAAGGAGGCATATTTCCTTTCATAGCTTGCTTTTAAGCAGTGATAGGCATCACAACCATTCTTAATTAAAACCTGGAAGACCAAGAGTAGCAAGTACATTTTATATCATTCTGAGAGGTTCAATTTTGTGACGTATCCTGTCTTCCGAGTCTTGTCCAGGAGGATTTTATTCTCTTCGGTACTGTAAAAGCCACAAGTACTTGATTACTAAAACCATAACCCTCTGTTGAGGATTGAGAAATAGTTTGAACAGGATCGATACCTGGGGCACCTGGATTCTAATAACACAAAACGTGCATTTTGGATTTTAGAACAGTGCATTTTTATTCTCTTTAACAGAAAATGGTTTTCTTGTTCCAGCTTCAGTGTTCACAAACAGGTATTCTCCTTTTGCTTTCTCAGATATTTACTGCATTACCGGCAATTCCAAATTCCTTAGTTCTTTCACTATTTTGTGAAAGTTTATGACTGGGCTGCAGTACAATTTCCAATAAAATGCATACTTCCAGATAAATGAAGGAATAAGATGCCACAGAACGGCACCAAGTAATCCTTGAGAGAACACGTGCCAGAAGTGCTTGCATGCTCTGCACGGAATAGTTTGCAGTTCCTTTCTTAACCAGAGATTCCAAACAGACAGTAGCTCTAACACAGAGAGTAGCATGGCATTGACAACAAGAAACCACGATGTCCAGTAATGAATCCCCAGCCAGCTCCAGGCAAATTCAGCAACTAATTGATAAGCCAAGGTGAGCTTAAACAGAAGTTTCCTCCATTGCTTCCAAGTAGGAGGTTTAAGATCTGAAAGTTTCTTGTCTGCACCTGCTCCATTTTCTGACACAGGACATACAGTGTGGATGAAAGGCAAAAATGTTTCTGTGTAATCAAAATAGTATAAATATAATATTCCAAGTCTTGGAGAAGTGCTTAATGTATGCAGCAAGAACAGCGTTGGCTTGGGTGTTGCAGCCTTGTATTCCCAAAGACTGTGATGTTGCTGTCCCCGATGCTGATCGCTTAGTTCCTTCAGAGGAGTTTCTTTGTGGCTGCTGTTAGCCAGGCTGCAGCATGTGCCCTGCGCGGGACAAGGAGAGTTCAGACGAACGAGAGGCCCCTGCTCTGGGTGTTCGTTCTCGATCCACAGATGAATACTTACAGTAACTAGAGCGGTCAGAATCCCCAGGAAGAGCCAGCGCCGCTGCTGGCCGACTTTCTGATCATTCCCGTGCTCGTGAAGGCCGTCCTGGGCTATACCCCTGCTCGTCCTTGTCCTAGCCTTGCCCCTCTCTGGAGGGTTTTTGGGAGACGACGTGTCCTTAGCTTGGTGGAGCACAGGACTCAACAGGGCAGGATCTCCCGGTCCCCACTGAGGTTTGGGGGGTCTGCATTGCAGGGGGTGATTTGCCTCAAAGTTTTCCCCTGACGAGGTCAGGCATGGCCAGATCTTGGCCCCGCTGCTCGGGGCGCTAGGAGTGACCAGGGCTGCACAAGAGGAACAAAGAAACTCATCTGAGGATGTTCGGCCATTTGTTTTTGCGGCGCTGTCCGTTTCTGTTGACTTGTCAGATTCATTTTGGAGCTTTCCATCACATTCCACATTTCTGTCAGTTTTCATCCTTTTCCTTTGCATCTCCATACTGCCCTCTGCACTCTGAACACATCACTGTCTTTTCAAAGGCTGCGAAACATAATTACCTCGGACGGCAGTCCCATGGTAGTCGATGTATTTGATTTACTGTTCTGTTCCTAGAGGGATCAACCTCTCAGTCCTCGCTTGCTGCTCGTCAGTGGCATCTCCTTCAGCCAGGCAGCAGCACAAACAGTCGCATCACATGGAATCCCTGAGTCTCACAATGTGTGTTGGAAACTCCGTAGCTACCCGCCTGTGCTGCAGGCTTCTATCTAGTTACAGCATGACCTACCACAGGGGTTTCTTATTCTTTGTATCTTGGAATGGCTTTGTGCTTATTAATAGGGATTGGAAAAAGCCACTGTTTAGTAGTATCGCCAAGAGAAGGGGCTAGCCAGACTGATGTTCTTAAGCTGGTGCTGTGCAGGTTTAACAGCTTGCATTTTCACAGTGCCCATGTGAAATTTGCACATTTTCTTGAGTATATTTAGAGTTGTCCTGCTGAGGGGCACCCAAAAAAATCCGGTCTTGTATAAGACTGTTCTCATTTTGAAAAGGCATGTCTCGGTCTTTCCCCAAGTCTAGCAGCCCCTCTTACTGTCCAAGTTGTATTTGTTGGTGAGTTGCTTCAGTGTAGGTTGTAGCTGTTGTTACCAGCTATATCTGGTCTTTGCTCAAGAGAATCTCTAATTACTCTTTTGCTTTATTGTAGGTGCGCATAGCTGCAAAATTCATCACTCACGCACCCCCTGGAGAATTTAATGAAGTTTTCAATGGTAAGTGAACAAAGAAGAATGATCTGTTGGGTTTCCCTAGTGTTTCAGTTGTTATGAAGGTTTATAGCTATATCATTCACCTTTTAAGGCGAACAACTACAAATGAGAGAGAGAATACTGTCATTCTGTGACTACATATGCTTAATGAAATGATTTAATCATTTTAATGGTTGTATTTGTACAGCTAAGGATGAAATGCAAGAGAAACATCTCATCAAAAAATTCTAATAATTTGGATATTTTCTTTTCCAGATGTCAGATTATTGCTTAGCAATGACAATCTTCTCAGGGAAGGAGCCGCACAGTAAGTATCCATTTCAAAAATACACTAAACTAGCATCTTAAACACATATGTTTTCTTAGACTCCTCATTCTGCAATGAATTATTTGTGGTGTTGAGAAAAATCTACTGTAACTTCTCCTTCAGAAAAATACAATGAAAGGCATGGCAGATTCCTTTAAAAGGGCTAAAATTGGAATGCATGCTGTAAAGGCCAAAACATTTACAGGCTAAAACATTTAATTGCAGCGGGAATGTGTGATCTTGGTGAAAAATAATTTGTAAAGCAAATGAATCCTGAAATACTGAGCACCCAAGGGCACCCAAGGCACCCAAGGGTTATGCATACAAGTTTTTGGATGCCAGAGTTTACTTTGAGCTACGTGACGTGTCTCTCAGAGGTTTTTACAACAGAAAATTGTCATAAATTAGTCAACTTGTGTTTGTTTAGCACACTACTAAATTGCAGCTTGTATGCCTCTGTTTTGCCTTGGCCTACTCATATTCCCTTAGGCACAGTTCTGTTTCTGAACTCTGTATTTTCCTGGTTATCACTAAATAAACCTTGCTTTAGAGTTGAGTTTTTATAGCTATCACTAATAAAAAACTGAAAATCTTGTAAGAGGCCTGGTGTGTATTGTTTGCAAAATACTAAGTTGGACATTTTTCTTGTTTAACTTATTCCTGCGTGAAAAATAACTCTGTCCAGTTAGAGCTCATGTTGTTTCAATTCTCAACAGTGCGTTTGCACAGTATAACATGGATCAGTTCACTCCGGTGAAGATAGAAGGATATGATGATCAGGTACACAAGTTTTTTGTTGTGGTTTTTGTACACTTCAGGGGTACAAAAGAAGTGTAGATGAATTGTTCCCTTAAAGCTTTGTCTGTTACTAACTGGTAACTAATTTATTGTTCCTTAAGTAAAGGATGCTGAAGTCATTGAGAGCCTAGCTAGAGTTTGAATGATTAAAGACTGCTATTCATTTAAAGCTCATTTACAACTCCTTATGTTACTGCATGCTAAGTTCCCACTGAAATCAATAGTGAATTCTTAATAGCATTTGTCCACTGTCTTCATTTTTAACTATCCCCAGCTACCTTAAACACACATCTTTGATAATAGCAATCCAATAGTATCCAAGCGACACCAATAAAATGTTTTGCATTTCCCTTTTTAATGTCTCTTATAGAGACAAGCTTGAGAACAACAGTATTTCCAGAATGGCTCAGGCTTTTCTTTAACCTCTGGATAAGCCACCTATTTGTATTGTAACTTTAAGCTAAATACATACAACATTACTGCATACAGCCATTTCTGGAACAAAAGACTAAGTCCAATATTACTGTGAAGAGCCAGAGTTTACCTACAGTCTCACTGCAGCTATTCTGTCCTTAATTGAGACTACTGCTAAAGGTCTTTGTTTTTTTACAAGATGCTAGAGATCAATGAAATAATCCATTGAGACATTGGTCAGGGAGAAACCCAAACCAACGCATTTATAGCAGCATAAGTGTTACTTAATTTACACTCTTATCTTCTAGGTCTTAATCACAGAGCATGGTGATCTGGGAAATGGCAGATTTTTAGACCCAAGAAACAAACTTTCTTTTAAGTTTGATCATTTAAGGAAAGAAGCAAGTGACCCCCAGCCTGAGGACACAGAAGCAGCTTTAAAACCATGGAGAGATGCCTGTGACAGTGCATTAAGAGCATATGTGAAAGATCATTACCCCAATGGCTTCTGTACTGTTGAGTATCCATTTTGTTTCATTGAACACTTTACTTCTGTCAATGAGTACTTTAAAGTGTTGAGTATCCATTTTGTTTCATTGAAAACTTCTGTCAATGAGTACTTTAAAAGGCCATTGTACTGAGCAGTCCTGCTGGTCAGCAAGTCCACTTTTACTAATGTCTGTATTATTTTTCCTTATTTTGGAGCAATTTGTTCAAAAAAGGACACAAATATATTTACATGAGCATGGTAGTAAAGCCTTATTAGACCCTACTTGCTCATAGGCATGACTGCACTGCACCTTAATATCTGCAGTTAAGGAAAAGGAGGCCTAATTTGCACATACTTGCAAGTAGAAGTGCTAGAAGTTGGCTAGTGGTGTGCATGCCCAGAGCCATAGCACAACACCGAGCCTCCAAAATGCTCTCAAGAACAGAAGATAGCTCTGCACAGCTCCTGTGGTGTGTATTACACAACCTCTTTTAACTTTTTCTAAATACAGGTTTATGGTAAATCTATAGATGGTCAGCAGACAATTATTGCCTGTATTGAGAGCCACCAGTTCCAGCCCAAAAACTTTTGGTAAGACTATTTAAACATACTGTATTTTCTTCCTTTCCTAGACCTCAAACAAACTCTTCCTCTGTCTGGCTCTGACGGTCTGAAAGCCAAGTAGTTTTGGGCTTCCCAGTCAATTCTACTTGTTGTGATCTGATTTCCGTGCAGGCCCCTTGGCACTTCCCTAAAAGCTTCAGTAATAGCTTGGTGCCCTATCCAGAGAGAAAATCATTAGCAGAGCTGGATACTTATCTCCTTACATATTCCTGAGCACCAGAGCCAGCTTGAAGCTTCACAGTTCCGCACTGTGCCTTAGGAATGGAAACTCAGCGCCGTATTAGGCACTTTAATGTTGATCACAGAACAATAGGAAGGCTACAGAATAAACACAGTCTTGCTGATACGGCTCTTTTTGTTGTCAGAACATACTGTAAATACAGGCTTCGTGGTGTGGTTGTTTTTAGGAATGGTCGCTGGAGGTCAGAGTGGAAGTTTACCATCACACCACCCACAGCTCAGGTGGCTGCTGTGCTCAAGATCCAGGTGAGTTACACTGCCCAGCAATAACTAGAGAAGCTGCATTGCTCCGTCTCTTATATTGAGCTGTTTGGCTCAAAAATGAGAGACCGAAATACAACCAAGATGTCCTTTTAGAACCAAGATGCTATTAAACTATATGAATCAAGAAGTTAATTTTTAGAACTTTAGCATTTTAAACATTGCCTAAAATCTGGCCTGTGATTTAATACATAGCATTACCCTATATGCCTCCAAGTCTGCTTCACTTTATAGGGCTAAAATCTATACCATGAATTCTTTTATAATTGCTCTTATTTCAACTCTAGGGGTTTACTGCATTAACATAATCTTGAACAGGCTTGACAAAGAATGAAACCTTTTAGAAAATCCATCCTGCTTTTAGTCTCCACGTAAGCAGAGAAGACTGGCACAACAATGCTGTTGTGCCATTCTGGTAGCATTTGGGGGCTCTAGGGTTTATAAAATGAGTGTTAATGATAACCTATGTCATCTGTCTTGGTTCAGGTTCATTATTATGAAGATGGTAATGTTCAACTGGTTAGTCATAAAGATATCCAGGACTCCATACAAGTTTCAGTAAGTATGATAGAAGTTTTTTTTTTTTTTAATCCATTATTTTCTTTTTTAAACCTCTCACCAAATATACACTTGTATGACTACACCCTCTTAACTCTTTATGAAAACCAGTGTAATTTTAGGGTGAGTAGTCTGTGTAGCTATAGAATCACATGGAAAGGAGGTTCCTTTATTGCTTAAATTGCAATGTTAAATGTTCATTTGCTGTGGGTTAGTTATCACAGTAATGCCAGTTAAAGAGAAACCAAATATACCTTTCCATCTATGTGCAAGGGAAAAATAGTATGAGCAACTCACTGAGTAACAGTCCTGTAGTGACAGTAGAGGGAGCAACAGTCACAAAATCCCTCATCCAGGTCAATGAAGCTCTACTTTCCTGTTGCTCACACTAGGGTGCAGCCCTGTTCAGCTTGGAGCAAAAGTTCTAACTAATCTCTGCTTCTATCTTGCCCCGTAATGATTAAAAGGAGCCCTGCTACTAACAGGAGGTGAAAGCTGCTGATATTGTCCACTCCATGCATATGCAGCCTGTCATTTCACAAGAACTATATTGAGTAACGTTTATGTCTGTATATATAAATATATATATTTTCCCCTTTGCTCTGTAGAGTGATGTCCAGACAGCTAAGGAATTCATTAAGATAATAGAAAATGCAGAAAATGAGTACCAGGTAAGAGCAGACATTGTTAAAAAATGTGATGGAATCATATCAGTGTCCATTTACAGTTAACACAAACATGACCACCAATTGTTTCTAACTAAACATTGTACTGACTGTAAGAATTACTTAGGAAAGAGCAGTTATATTTGGTGACAGATTAAAGTATTAAAGCTATATGTTGCTGTTAATGAAAGCTTGCCATGTAGTTATTCTAAAGTATTACAAATGATCTGAAACAAACAGGGAAGGGGTGTGGGCAAGTCTAAATTTTTCCTCTGTCACACCTGAAAAAACATTAACAAGGACATGGGAGACAGTATTTTATGTTGTCCCAGCCTGTGTGCAGGAGGGAGATTTGATGCAAAACAGACACCTAAAGAAAAACTACTACATTCACAAGAGTTTCATAGAAACCCTTTTCTTGGGCACACACTGGTGACTTGGCATTGTTAGTTAATTGGCAGCGTGCCTTCCCCTTACAGAAAGGGCCGTAACAGCCCTGCTTCTTCAGAGAATTCTGTCACTGCTGTAACTGAACCCACTTGCCGTTACAGACAGCCATCAGTGAGAACTACCAGACCATGTCAGACACCACGTTCAAGGCCTTACGCCGGCAGCTGCCTGTCACCCGCACCAAGATCGACTGGAACAAGATCCTCAGCTACAAGATTGGCAAAGAAATGCAGAATGCTTAATGCATAAAATGAGATTTATTGGATGTTTGTGTGCAAAAAGAACACAAAAAGAAATGTGATCTTATGCCAAGTAGATGGTTTCTAAACCAATGCAGCATTTTTCTAGGGCTTTCAAAGTTAACAAGTTTTCTAGCCTCAGAGAGAACTGTGGAACAAATAGCAGTGTCTGTGGCTTGTGTTCCCTGCCATATAAACTTCCTTTTGTGACTGCATTTACTGGTAGGTCATTTTAATTAAGCCACATTCATGTTTCAGAAATACAGCTGTTTTCAGTCATTATAACTGGTTGGAAAACTTCCTAGCTCCAAAAGCCCTACAACAAGTCCAGCCGAGGGTGCAGAGCATTCCCTGCACCCACATCCAGCACTCCAGGTACTCCCGTAAGTTTGTTGATTCTGCCAACAGCTCAAGGCACTCTGCTGCAAGACGTAATAAATGCAAAAGACAGTAAGTTCTCCCACGTATCCTTACTACTGACCTCCACAAAGCAAAAAGCCTGTAGGCTTAGGTAGCAACTAACCAAGGAACTGGAGGGGACTCTGGCCTATAAAAAATGTTTTCTCTAATAATAATCACAAAATCTTTTTTTTTTTTTTTTTTAATATGAAGATTTGAGCCATGTTCCCTGTAAGTGAACATTTTTGCTGTCCCCTCCCTCATGTATGTACGGTTATCAGACATCTGCATTTTTATAGAACTAAGTTTCTTCTTTTGGATGGGATCACTGTTGACCCCTTCAGTCTGGATGGAGATTGAAAATGCAAATGTCTACAGAATAATAGGTATGTTGTGCTTTAATGCTTTGTGGCAGGTTCCTAGAGTTTGTATCACAGGTGTATGAATGGATAGTGTAAAAAATGATAAATAAACTTGCACCAAAGTGAGAGAAAAACTTTCCCTTTTGTCTCTATTTTGGCCAGTTTCTTCTTACACTTAATGGGGATGTTGGGCACAATCTGCACAATCTTTTCGCTGCTCTCAAAGCTTGGTCTGCTTTGTTCTTCTGTAAAAATCAAAAGCAACCTTCCCGAGATGCTGCTTCTAGCAGGAGGCTGGAGGGCATGCGGATACCTTCTCAGAGGGGATTCACTGTAGAGCGAAGTCCCACTAGTTAATTCACTTCATTTACACTTGTTCCTCACTTGGCCTTCCCACAAGTTGTTTTTAAATGGCTGGTGTCTTCCTATTTTGACATTCCCAAGGAAAGGGGTTGGGAAGATAGGGCTGGGGCTGCCTGTGCGTTACCCTGCAGGCTTTGATAGCGCAGTGTGTCAGTGTGCTGTCCTCTGCGAGATAATTTTTCCAAATAAAACGTATTTACTGTTAAGCCTGACCCAAAGGTACCCTCTGTAGGAAATAGTCTAGTGGAAATACACCAGTCTGCTTTAAAGCCATTTGTGTCTGTCCTTCTACAGTCTCACTTCTGTAAAAATCCTGATCAAAGCAAAACTGCAGGTGATATTTTAGGTAGCCTGAAAACAAACCAGATTGCTTGCAAAATTAAACTTTTAAGTTAGATGAAAAATAGTCACATAGCTCAATTTTCCCCACTAATTTGTATCTTATTATAGCACCTACGTGGGTTCATGCTTGTACGAAGCTGTTAAACATGAACCACCAGCTACGTCCCGTGTCGGTGCAGAGCACAAAGCAAGACTTGTCCTGTCCTGCTGGCCCCGGCGCCGCCGGCTGTTTGTGCCAAACGTTCCCTCCCTGCAGCCGCAGACACAACGAAGCGCCCCGCGCGCGGGCGCCCAGCGGCCGTGGCCGCACTCCCAGACGGACGAGCGCGCAGCAATCCCAGGAATGCGGGGCTGAAGCGGCCCGAGATAAAGCTCCGCTGCGCACAGCCTTATCTCCAGGGCTCGTCCTTCCTCGCCGCGTGTCCGGCGCTGCAGGCTGCGCCCGGCTCCCCGGCACCGAGACCCTCTCCCTTCTCCAGACTTTACCTGGCCGTTCCTTGGGGCCAGCTCACTCCCCATCGCCTCTCAAACCCTTCACTCGTCCTTCACTACTGCACAGGCCCAGATGATCCTAGGTCTAGAGGGTCCTCGGCTCCTGTTTCTTCCTTGGAAAGGCAGGAGCTTGGCACGGCTGGCTCACAGGGATTAAGGCGTTACACAGGTGCTGGGGACACCTACTGGCATTTTAATCTCTAAAGCCACCAGCTGCTCTCCACTTGAGAGCAGGAGTTTCACACAAGACAGGCCAGCTAGAGACTAACGTACGTACTGGGCTGGTTCTGCTGCGGTTCCGAAGCCAGACAGCACCAGGCCAAGGCACCGCAGGGGAGCAGGGCAAAACGCAGCTCTCCTGTCCCGCTCCTGCGGCCAGGAACCCTGCCTGCCCCCGGGACCGCAGCGATAAGGGCTCCCCTATCTGCTCGGGAGAGCAAAGCTTAAAGCGTCAGGGCTCCACCTACAATGCCAACAGACTGAGGAGAAAGTCATTTTATGAACTCCAGAACTTGCAAAACAGAACCTTTAACACACAGACCTCTGACCTGGGCTAATTTTCCTACCTATGCCCCATTTTCTACAATCCCCAGGTAGGACAGTGACCCTCCTGCCATTTGTGAAGTGCTCTAAGAGCTGATGAAGGATCCACAGGACCTTGGGGCTAACAGCTGCTCCTGCTCAGGAGGCTGAGAGGCAGGTTTGACCACAGGCAGCCTCCCCAGAGCAAGCCCCGCTAGTCCCAGCATTCAAACGCAGCGTGTCCTTGCCCAGGCTGTGGGGAGCAGCTGCCCAGGGTGCAGCCGGGGGGCTGCCCCGGCCTGCAAGCCCCCTCCAGGCAGTAGCACATGGGCCAGAGGAACTGCCCACTGCAACTAACGGGGTGAAAACAGCAGCCTTACCTCACCAAGGGGAAAAAAGCCACATCACGCAGCACCCCCATCCCTGGGCCACCTTGCAGCACTGGGTCAGGGATCACTGCCCCGCCGAGCAGCTGCAGGTTTAGAGCACAAAGACCAGGGCAGAGCCGAACACGAAGCAGCTGCTGCTGCTGCTCCCTATTTGTAGGAGCAGCGGGCGCGGGGCGCGCTCGTCCCTCCCGGCCGCGCCGCAGCTGGACCCGCTCGGCCCGGGAGCTCCGGGGCACTTGGTGCCGCGGCTCCGGGCCCGCGCGTCGGGGC